CTGAATAATTCCTTCCCTTTTTCTTCTGTACTGCTCTCACTTATCTCTTCAGAGCAATTTGCTTCTGTAAATGTAGATTTGCTGATGTTGTCCTCTTTCTTGGTAGATGATGATGAAAATGGAATATGACAAATGAACATGACAGTGCAAAATGGATAAATAAGGACGGCGTGCGTAATTTTATGGCATTTGTTTGATACTCTGCTCTTAGTAATATTCAAATGGCATTAAAATTTATATGCAAACACTTTTTTTAATACTTTGGTATTACTGAAAATTTTTCATATATTTTAAATGATTAATTTAAGAAAGTTTACACAGAAAATAAAAATCATATATAAGTTTAAATTCTACAAATCATATATAAGTATTTAGTTTGATTTTGTGAAAAGTATAAAATAAACATTCAAAGTAATTAAAACATATTTTTGTATGTTTTTAAAATTTCAATAATTTGAATGGTTAAATCCTGCTTTACAGAAAGCCGACACAAAATAAAATAATTATGTTGATGAATGAATTCCAAGTACTTTTGAATCCCTTAATGACGAGTCAAAAAGCTCAAAACTACCAGGAACTCATTATGTTTTAATGATATTAATTTATTTTGTGTTGTATTCCCAATACATTTAGCTTTTTATAGAGATTGCGTTTGTCATAAGCTGAAATATTCAAGTCATAGACATTGTAAAAGTATTGTACACTAGAAATTCTCCCATCAAGCATAACAGAATACATTTTATGAGAAAGTAAAGATTGAAGAATTGAGAAGAAGAGAGATTTCAAGGAGAATTGCTAATATTTCTACAAATTGAGTAGTTTATACTTGAGCTTGATGTTGTTCCTACAGACCTTGACAAAACCTTTCTTACTGAATGTTGCTCAAGTCAGACTTCAAGAATCTTGGTTGTTCTTATTCTTTTAGATCTAGAATTTACCTGACCAATTTTACTCTTATGCTTTCTCCTAAGAATTTTTTTCTGACAACAAAATAATGAGTCTTTAGTTGGTTTATTTTGTTTTGTTAAGTTATGGCAATGTAACACTTGGGTGATCTATCTAGGGGAATACCTTCCATGAGGTTTTTTTAAGGGTAACTGGTCCATATTCAGGCATTACAGATGTGGAGAAACCCAGAAAACTCCATGTGACCAGCCCATCCCGGTGAGGCATGAACCCACAACCTAACTCCCAATGTTCAGGAAACAAAACTTGGCCACTGGTGGGCCCATAAGTCTTTTTATTCAATAATTCCACATTGATAAAACAAAGATGAATTATATGTACGTTACTTAGATGAGCAATAACACCTTCTAAATAACGGGCTTGTCAGATTGTTACTTCTGATTGGATAATAGTATGTCACATGGTGATTATAAAAAGATTTTTTAAAAATTTGTTACAGAAGTGATATGACGTGATTATCATTTTTTAAAGTTTAAATTTAATAAAATAAGTTTAAAATACATCATTTGCCAAAATATTTACAAATGAAACTTAAGGGAAATTCCCTTGTTGAGCATGAATGTCAAATGGTCACTAACATCACTACAACATAAATGTGATCGTCAATCCCAAATCAATAAAAAGTTTATTCTGTAGCTAATATTTCCACACAATAAGTAGCCTATACTTTCAACCAAAAAATTAAAAAAAATATAACCAAAATTTCACCTACACTGGACAAAAACTGCAGGAGTTATAAGAAATTCACACACAGACAACTGCTTTTATATTAGCAATATGAAAAAACTGTTTATAGACAAAAAAAAATTCTTCTGTCTTAATGATATATTTAGTTAAAAAATAATTCCATTTTATTATTATTATAAGCTTATATTTAACTTATTTGCATCTACTCCCATGTATGAGTAGGAAAATTTATTGCTTAGAGAAATTATCAAAAATGTACCTTCTAATAGTAGTAAATTATATACAAATTAATATTCTACAGAGATAACCAACTTCTCCATACGAATGTACTTTATACTTTTTTCAATGTTATAAAAATTTTTTAAATATTTTACTTATTAATTAACTACCACTTTCTAGTTTATTGGAGAACATACAGATGTTTGCCACAACTTTCAAATACTTTGTCCTTTCATCCATCTAAAAAGTAGAAATGAAAAAAAATTGCAAACAGAAAACACTTTTTTTTTAATTAAATGTTTTCAAAAACATCCTCACTTCAAGCAGACAATCCAACATCACACTCCTTAGTGGCAAAGTTCACTGGAGCATATTTCATAAAAAGTAAACACAGCAGAGCATCGATTATCTGAATGTCAATCAACAGAAAGCATTCCAGTCGGCAAATTTAAATTTTCACTAGTGATGTGGCGCTGCAATCTTTGGATATGTCTTGGGATACTCCAATATTATTTTTGTTGGTGTGTGTGTTTTAGCTGGCAGCACTGGCGGACCATGAGAGGGTACTTAAGGAGATGCCAGGATTGGAACGAATTTCAACATGGGATAGGTTAATATATTTTTTTGTACATAATTGGTTATCCGAAAAATTGATTTTTCAAACAACCCCAGTTCCCAATTGATTCGGATAATCAATGCTCTGCTGTAGTTCTTATGCTGCTAAATCAGTATCTTAGCTTTCTACTGCATTTACTCAAATTTATTCTCTTTTACACTTAAAAACATTCATTAAAACCTCATAATTCATGTAAATTCTTGATTTTTACTGTGAATGACAAACATCCATAAAACTTCCAATAGAGCAGGAAATAGATTTTTGATGGCCAAGAAACTTTTCAGCATTTTTTCAAGTTTACATAGTTTTAATAATATGTAAATAATGAATTAGAATATATAAAACATTTAAACTGACACAAGGCACTTGAAAATTTTGAACTAAATTTGTTTTACTATTTAAACAGAAATGAAATAATTACAAATGTAACTTTTACTAAATTAAACACTTTTATATTTCCTTTAAATTAGTGTTTTTAAAAAAGCTTCAAAACTGTAATTGAAAATCCTCTCATTTTGGAAAAAAATTGCTTCATTATGTTATAATTTTTTATTGCAAAAAAGAGTCCTTCTGTAAGGATATATTGGAAAGAAAGAGTATATGGCCCTCTCTATTTGATACTAGATTGGAAAAGTGGGCACGACGGCCAGTTTGTGCTGACACTGACTTTTACTCCCAAAAGTCCAATTTTTCAGAGTAATCCATATTTTATATGAAAGAAAAATATTTAAACTTGAAACAAACTCTTAGAAGCAATATATGCATATGTAAAATCTGATAAATTCCCATGGAAAAGTTTTAAGCATTTAGATTTTAATTTTCTAGTAATTTTACACTGTAAAAATATGTTAAATTAATATAAATAATATTGATATACAGTAGAACCTCCATTATCCGGATTTTCGATTATCCGGATTGTTCAAAATAAACAAAAGTTTTACGAATTTGCTGATTTGAACTTGGCGAATTACGACACTGTTTATGTACGTGATGGAATGCATAACTTTTTTTGTTTCAACAACGTCTCACCCAGCACAGTGGTCGTAAACTCTTAAATATATTTTACGTAGTAATAAAAATATAACTTGACATACGTATTTATAAATAATTTATATTCAAATTACATCATTTCTATGACCAAGGGCGGCGTAAGGCATGGACGACGTGGGCCACCGCCTATGCCTCGCGGTCCGAAGGGCCTCGCGCCTCGAAGGTTTACGCATTACTTAGAAGCCGTGAACGCGACGAAAAAATTTTACTCGTCATAAAACGATAAATAGTTTGTCAAATTTTTATTCATAAAAATGCAGTTTCAACTGCTTTTTATTTTATAAAATCTGTCTTCTTGCGCCACCAGAGGGCCTTTTAAACAATAGGTAGTCTGTTAGCATTGGTCAGTAGTAGTCCAAATTCAATACGAACATTTGTTTCTTGAAAATTTGACCACGATTTAAATACAGTATTTACTTTTAATATTACCAATATGTCATCGAAAAGAAAACGTGTTGTATTATCATTAAAAGACAAATTAAAGTATTTGTTTCGATTATCCGGATTTTTCCTTATCCGGACTACCTTCATCCCCAATTAGTCCGGATAATCGAGGTTCTACTGTAATTGTATTTCTAATTTTGATATAAAACATTTTCATTAAATTTTATGGACTATAAAGTTTTATAAATTTTCTTAACACCAAAAGTACTGCTTATACCAGTAAATGAATTGCAGTCTTACAAATTTCATGCCCACAATAACGTATAAAATCACAATTTACAGAACATAACCAAACCCAAAAGCAATGTTTCTATAGAAATTTTCTCATTTCTTAATTGATTCATAGATAATATGATTCACTAGCAACAATCAATACAATAAATTAAATAATAAAAATTCTCAGTGATCAATTAATAGCTCATTGCTTTGATATAAGCTGTAACAGATGTTGTATTTATCTGTTATTCTTGTTTCAATTTAAGTAAATTTAATTCTTTTAAATTAAAGTATTGAATGTTATTTTATAACACCCTCTCATGGACATTAAAAACACCTTTCAGCCATAGCTGGAAATTTGGATGGGTCCACAAGTGTAGAGAGATGAGTAGAAAGGAACATTTCCTAAAGCACATTGCAGATCACAACCCAATAGATGAAAAATGCTATTTTCTAATAATACATCAATACTTTTAGATATTCTTTTCTAGAGAAACGTTTACAATATACTCCAAAGAATATAATACATGTGAACAGAAATGCAAATTCAAACATTCAATTCTTCATAATTAATTTAACTGTATTACCTACAGAATATATTATATGAATAAAATACATTATAATTTTTAAATTCTGTTTGCTAGTTATTTAATATAATAAATTTTTCAGAAAAATAATCGTTATAATGTGATTTACGAACAAATGCCATAAAATTGGTACATGAATAAGCAAACTCTTTGGATAAAAAAGATGACAACAACAATTTTTTCATAATAAAACAAATACACGTAACACAACTTACTATTGAGTCTTCCTTTAAAGTTCTTATTTCTTCGGCTTCTCTCATTACAAAATGATGTAACTAAAAATACAGATTGTTATTTAGTACTCTATAATATAAAACTACTTATTCTTTTATTCTATTTCTCATAATAATAATAATAATAATAATAATAATAATAATAATAAGTGTGATACCGGCTCGGACGTCGCCCGGGTTAACAAGGTCCGCGTTCGTGGGTTAGGCAGAGGCTCACGTTCGAAAAATAGGCCACAGTCTCCCTTGGTTACCGGTGGAGAAAGCAGCGCCGGCCCAAGCATGGCTACTGCAATGCCCTCAACAGATGTGAGGAATCAACCTAGCCTTGGTGTTTCTGTGGCAATTCATCCACAGACCACAAAGGCTGGAAAACCACGCCAACGGATGAAATGGACAACAGAAATGAACGAGTTTATCATCCG